AACATGGATTATAGCTAGACAAATTATTGTATTCGACTGTATTCACGGCGTGAATCAGGGGATTACACTGTTTTTAAACGAAAAGTGAATCAATTAACATAATAGACTCCTAATATAACTCAACAAACTCAATTACAACACACAAATTTTGTATTTCGAGTTATAAAAAAAATTCTCAACCGAAAAATACCCCAAAAATATAGCAATTTTCAGAGAAATTATATAATACATCTGAATACATAAATTATATTAATTAAAAAAATATATGAATACATTCATGGCATATAGCTAGACAGTGAATACAATGAAATACATAGAATACAGCGGGATACATTGAAATACAATGAAATAAAAAACAGTGAATACAATGAAATACATGGAATACAGCGAGATACATTGAATTACAATGAAAAAAGACAATGAAATACATGAAAATACAGCGCGATACGTTGAAAATATATTGAAATATATTAACAGTAAAATCAAGTTGCTCAGCCCCAAACTCCGTCGTCTTTGTTCAGGACCAAACCCTAATTTCCAGCGAATCCGCCGTCGAGCAAAAACCCTGAATCGCCACTGGCTATAAGGGTTAATGATGTCTAGACACCTCACTGGGAGATACTCGCCATGAGTCATCCATCACGTTAANAAGGGTTAATGATGTCTAGACACCTCACTGGGAGATACTCGCCACGAGTCATCCATCACGTTAGCCATGTATTATGGTCGTATTTTACCAATAGAGTTTAATGATACAATGTTTGGAATTAACTAGCTTGAATAATTCGAATCTGAGCAAGTAAAGACAACAAGGGGATAAAGAACTATCTAGGGAAAGATTTTATGATTCCACGAGCCTGAATCATACTTAGAACCTCGACTTTGTCAGTTTAGCCACACCCATTAATGGGTCTTTGTCGATACCTGTTTAACAAAGGTCGCCGTCGAGGGGCAGCCTGAAAGTATAGTTCAGGAAATTGAAGATATGGTTCGATTTCGACATTGATTCAGAGCCCCAGGCTATTGGCAATGAAAATTCCGTTCGACATTGGAGATGAATCAGTGAAGAATCATGGTTGTATTCATGGAGAAAGACTGGCGTTAGAGAGGGAGAGGATGTAGAAAAATCTGAAGAATGAGAGAAAAATAATACAAAGCATATTTTATGGCTTAAGTGTAGGAGGTGACCATAAATAGATATTTGGCTATAAAAATCAAAAGATAGCTATAAAATATAATTTTTTTAAAAGATATTTATTTAAAATAAATAAGGTATCAACCTTTGCCACATAAGTTAAAAATTCCAAAAAAAATTAGAATTTGTCAAGAAGGAAAGTATGACTTATCTATTTTTGGGACAGGAGTTGCAGGAATAAATTGTCTAAAAGCAATCATATGAAAGATGTACAAAAGCTATTGGCTATATTATTTTGTACATTAATTTATATTGATGGTTGGGTTCTTAACTAATGAGCACACATCTTTATTTGCTTATTATGCCGGGTTTAATTCTACGAGCAAAACTTTTTCTTTTCGTAATCTTTATGGTGAATGCTTGTGATATCTTCGTTCCAAAAGGGGAACTACAATTAGTTAATTTTTGTACTTTATTTTTTTCTTCGTTAAATCAAGTTTGTTTAGCTGCCTGTCTTTGTTTTGGAATGACTAATTATCCTAACAACGTACATTTTTAGTTGTGCGCGCACGCACGTTTTCTTTTATCACATACACATATGGTCAACATGATATTAAACTTCTATGGTTTTTTTGGAGGGCTGGGGTGCTCTCCCTATTTTACTAACTTGCAGCCTAAATATGTCCTACTCTATTTAATGAGAGAAATCCATTTAATTCAACTAAAGTAAATTATTGAGATTTATTGGTATCTAAATTTACAATATATGTGCATTTCATAGAATATATTAATGTAATATCTTGTAATGAATTATGATCCTACCTATTAGGACCAACACATTGTTTACATTTTAATGCGCCAAAAAGCAGTTATCAAAGCTCTACTTTTGTCTTCATCACTTCAAGATGCAACAGAACCACCATTGACGGGGTTATCACCGGCAGTTCCTGTCTACAGCTTTCCTTTAACTTTGTTACTCAATGAATTAACTTGAAATTCACAAGTTAGTATAGCTTAATAATCATCTTTCGTATTAAATTGGAATGAACTAGCATGTCCTATATTTTTCATTTTATAGGTACTTTAGGAAAGAATGATTTTGTCTTCAATTTTTTGTTGTTGGTTTTACTGAACTTGTTTGGTAGTTTCATACTGACTCCTGTCACTTCTTCAGTACAAGAAAAAACATATTCACTTGAGTTGCATGGCATCTTAAGAGAAGAAGCATTGATGCTCCTATCAGGAGGTGTGAGAGGTTGGCGATTGGGAGTTTGAGAAGAGGTCGAGGTAGGCCTAAGAAGTACTGGGGAAAGGTGATTAGACAGGACATGACGCTGCGTCAACTCACTGAGAACATGATCCTTGATAGGAGGGTGTAGAGGTCGAGGATTAAGGTAGAAGGTTAGTGGGTAGTTTTTAGTTGTTCATCTACAGTCTTAGTAGCATGCATGTCCCTTCATTTTCTTAGATTTTTATTACGTTATGTGGTTTTGTTCGTCTCAAGTATTGTATTCCCCGTTGCTATTATTTGGTACTACTTATCTTTTATCTCTCCCTTTTTCTTTTCTCTTCCTTCTTTCTTCCTTCCTTGCTTTCCTCTTCTTCTTGCCTTTCCTGAGCCGAGGGTCTATTGGAGACAGCTTATCTACCTACATTAGGTAGGGGTAAGGTCTGCGTATAGACTATCCTCCCCAGACTCCACCTGTTAATATCATACTGGTTTTGTTGTTGTTGTTTGTTGTATGGCATCTTAAGTCAGCTGATGTGTTATAGGAATTTCGCCCTTTCTTTAACAAATATATGTTGTAAGAAAAAGTGATAGCAAAATGGCTTTAACCAGACCAAGTGAAGCACCTAACTCTTTTAATGATCTCTTAGAATGCTTTACAGAAAGTTTAATTCATTGCATGCTGAATTTGTTTGCTTGGAATATAACTGATCTGTCAGTGGAACCTCTCCTTGGTCATGGAATAATAATTTATGTTTCAAGGATCCTTAAGTGCTTTTTTGTGCAACAATTTTCTTACTTTTGTGTGTCTTTCATTTAAGCAGGATTGACATACTCATAGTAGACGAAGTTACTTTCATTTTCTTACTTGTTAAAATATTTTAGCTTGAAGAAGTTTAGATTGCAGCTCGCTATTGAGTTTGTAACGTGTACACACATGTTTTAATGGCTACCATGCTCGTGGAACAAGGATAATTCAAATTATAACTTGTTCACTTTTTCCATTTAGGGTGTGTTTGGTATAACGGAAAATTTTTTTCGTGAAAATGTTTTCTTGGAAAACAAGTAGTAATCTTATGCATTTTCTGGCATTTGGTACGCAAATTAAGGAAAATGACTTCTCAAGAGTATTCATAAATAATTTAGATATAATAAACATGAATCCATAAACTTTCAAACCAACAACCTTCCGGACCCACAAATTTCATAAACTTTCCAACCGCTAAACTTTCAAAACCGCGAAATTTCGAACCCGTAAACTTTATAATTTCTAAACCTGTAAACTTCCAAACACATAAACCTCCGAACTCATAATTTTGGAACTTGNGTGGGGTGGGTTGGTGAGGGTGGGGAAGGTTGAGAAGGAGCTTTGGAAAATATTTTCCCTTCTCTTGATAAAGAAAACATTTTCCTCCAATTGGAAAAAAAATGAATTGATAAGGAAAATATTTTCCAAAACATTTAAGCCCACCAAACATGGAAAACATTTTCCGGAAAATGTTTTCCTTCATACCAAATACACCCTTAATTAACTGCAGGAGGACCATGTAGTGATACTTAGAGCCTGTTTGGACATAAAAAGAAATTATTTTTTTCTGAAAATTTTTACTTTTTTTCGAAATCAGTGTTTGGCCATAAAATTTTCAGTTTTCACATGAAGATGAATTTTGAAATTATTCGAAATTTTGAAAAACTCCAAAAAGCTGTTTTTCAAAATTTTCACTCACAAAACTTCAAAAACAACCTAAAATTTTATTCATGTCCAAACACAAATTTAATTTTCTAATACCATTTTCACTTGAAAAATATTTTCACTTTTTTTTAAAAAAAATTTTACAATTCTTATGTCCAAACGCCCACTTAGCAACTCATGTAATTTGTTTTCTATACAATAGAATATATAAAACTATGTACTAAAAATTTACTCTACTATTCTATTTTGTACAATTATATGTGATACCCAATACACCGAAGTCTTGTAACTCAATGAATTTGTGGCTGAAACAGTGCGATGATGAGTCTAAATCGTTTGGCTTGACTTTATGTTTTGCTGAATTAACTCCATGTATGTATATAAGCATCTACGTGTCATGTACATTAATATTAAATTCTAACAATGTCGGTCATATGTTCGTGCATAGCATGAGCACACACCATCTAGTTTTATTAAATTCCAATATGAAATCTAGTTCCCGTACGCAACAAAAACATGTTTCATTCATTTTTATATACCGAGCTCCAGAGAAAATGAGCCATTTCAACCTTCTGGCTTGCTCAAATCAAATGTTCATCCTCTATCAAGGAATTGAAGAAGATTTTAACTCTTAATTTAACATTATCTAGTTCCGAACTGCGTATTTTCCTATGTGCCGACTACGATCGTGATGTGAACTAAAGTACGACAGGGCCATTTAGGGTGGGAAGAGCAGTTACTTTCCAACAGTTGACAATGGACTAAGTAGAATCCAGAATCGCTTCAACTTTCCAAATCTCGTGTATGTTTTTGGACAAGTAATGGTTATAGCTGCTTGATCATGTTTCACCACAATTGGTGTACCCTTTTACCCACAAAATGCATCAAGTATTAAACAGGCAATTGATACTATTACCCACTTGCATAATTATAGCTCGTTAAAATAAGGATCGTAAAACAAGAATTTGGCAAAACATCTTTTCCTAAAGGCAGCAGAATGATCTTACAACTAATGATGAATAATTTAGAATCAAAATTTGGAACTTATAAGCATATGCAAGTTACAGAAGAATAAATAAGATTGAAAAGGAAAAGTAGAATGACAATGAATTAGGAGCTATAAGTTATTACACCCTTCGCACTTTTGTGGGATTTCTCGTGTCACCAGATCTACGTGGAGATCAGCCTCGTATTTAGGCCCTCCTCATCATCCTGCCGAGGCCTCTATCCTAATTTGATGCAATAAGCAATGACACTCAACGTTAACTACAAGTTGACACCAATAATCATCAAGGAAAGTCTTGGCGTAATGCGTGGTGGTTCCAACGAAGCTAGCACACTACTGTATCTTGTCTTTGCTTCTTCCGCTTCTTTCTTTCAGCACCGGTACGCTTCTTTCTATCAGCACTACGCTTCTTCTTTCGTTTCTTACTGTGGCTATCATTGCCACCATCTCCATTCACTTGGTGCTTCAGGAAACAGTTTTCTGATACAAGCTGATGAGCCAATTTTGCCAAACGAGGTCCTGATACAGAATTGTGGGGTATGCACCTGTATAGGTTATGACAGAGCAGAGATCATCAGAGTTTTTAAACAGCTACTTGTAGCGCTGTCGAAAATAGACTACTCTGACTGACTGCATATCTCACATGGTGAGAAATCCAAGCAACTGTCTCCAAGCTGAATATTTGAGAAAATATATACAACAGGATGTCTTACCTTCTCCAAGCTGAATATTTGAGAAAACATATACAACAGGACATCTTACCTTCTAGAATATCTGTGTTCAGCAACAGCTGTCTTCTCGTGCCATAATAAAGGTTGAGGGTGGACTCCATCCTTGGAGATAACCTACAAGAGAACACAGAACTTATAAGTTAAACAAGAAAAATAAAAAAAGAAAAGCGTATCATATGACATGTAGGATATGATATTACGACTAAGTGATTAGTTGATGTTTAGCTCGTCATTTCATCGACTGAGCGGTGCAGTAACACTAAGATTGATAACTAGAAGTGCCATCTTAAGCGAATACTTTTAAGATGTAAAGAGATGTCTGCACATTTGAGGTAAACAGCAGACTTGGACATCTGCAAACGTTAAGACTACAACACACACAAAGAAAAAAAGGAATTACATTCAGTTTTTCATTTTGCGGAACTGCTTATTTTAGTCTCATCTAACTATGTCTGCCTGAGGTCACCAGAAATCGATGTGAAATGAACTCAATATAAACAGTTAAATATCTCATCCAATTCACAAAATAGGGGTGCCAAACTAAAGTGGTGGTGACTTAGTCCATGGACTTCAGGCAGTTCTGATATTTTGTCCCAATTTTCTATCTTTTCCTCAGTCCTAATTAAAACATGTAGCTGATATTCTTAGTTGCTAAATCTTGAATTCCAAACCTTCACACAATTTCACCAGAAAACTGGAAAAATCTATATCATAGACGTGAANTCAACCAGCTTAGCTAGAAAGGAGACACTTCATTCCAATTAAGGTACGACCAGTAGTTGAAATCTTCTCAGGCAAATAAGAGGAACCTAACCACCCAAAGAACAATAGCCGAACACAGCCTCACTTGATACTACATAAGAAGAAGCAAAAGCTTTTCCCATGTTCCTTAATCCAAGTTTACGGGGAAGAAAGAATGAATCTGCTACGTGATGTACGCAGTTAAATATAGTGAGTCAGCCACAAAGAGTGCACATGATTCTACCAATCGATGCTCCAAGCAACAATTTTAATCTGTGCCAACGGAGTGAAAATGGTGAAGTCACTCCTCAGTTCTCCAAACTATTCAAATCTCATAAACATATAAAACAAGAGCAAGTCCACTTCCTGAATGGCACCTGCCATGATCATATCACCTGAACTCGGGATTGATTTTCCTTTTCACTTTAGCCTTTGGCAACTTTGGATTGTCCTTGTTCCTTGCACAAAAAGCAAGGATCTTCGTTGCTAGAGGATGTGACAAGTAAACAAACAACATATCAAGGCCGAGACTGTTTCTGTGCTTTTCGTCAACCTAAATCACAATAAACAGTACAAGAATTAAGTGTATGTCAGACATACATAGATGTAAAGTTCAGGGGCTAGATGTTGTGATGGGAAACAATGTTGCCAAGGCTCAAACAATTCCAAGAATTACTGCTGGCATCTGCAACATTATTCTTCAGTTATAATATTAGTTACATTACCGTTAAAGTATCTTCAACATTTGCAATCTCAGATAGAAGACGGCTCTCTTCAATAAATGGCAGCTTACAAACAGCCTACAAACCACAAGAAACATTGATATCATCCTTAATGTTTTCCCAGTTAATTAACTCAAAAAGAAAAAGAATAGTTTGCACGAGGAACAATAATTGGACAGGGAAAAAGAGGGATCCACAGCAGGTTCAGATACTAGAAGTAGAAAGTGATACGAGCAATAGATTGTAAGAATAAAGTAGATTATCTGAAATTACCTGCCAAGCATGCCTCTTCCCATTCATATCAAGCTCAAAATCTGCCGAAATATGTTTTTAATACATCTCAAGGAAGGGATATTCGTTAAGCAATGGAATCAATTTTTGTTTTCAAAATCCACCTTACCACTAGGATAGAAGTCTAAAATAGGGGACAATGGATCTGTCATCAACTTCCTGTAAGAAACGGGAAGTGCTTGTGCACTGTCATGTACACCAGCTCTGTTATAAAAGAAATGAAGAACAAAACCATCTACACAAATCAAAAAGAGAATAGGTTTTTAATACCTTGCAGCTGGAAGGACACCCATTAGCTGATCAAAAGGCTTGAAGGGCTTGCCAATTGTGGAGTGGATTTTGAATCGGTCAAGATCATGAAAATCAGATGCGAATGGAGCATAGTGATAAGGATAAAACCTGCAGTTTCATATCAAAACAGAACAACTGCGCCATTAATTTCCCAATTTGGCAAAAATAGCTAATTAATGGAAAATATGCAACACCAAATACCTAAACAATTTAACAGCCAAAATGGATCAGATAACACGCATAGAAGGAGAAGGGGGAGGGAAGAATGACTATACTAGCAATAACCAATGAACAACATGGTCAAGACCCGACCAAACTAAACTTCCTGAAAGAAAAAGCTGAAATAAAAAGGCAGAAAGTAGAGCAAAACCATCCTTGTCCAGAAAAGGGTAGAGCAAAACCATATACTTCTGAAATCTTTTGTGCTAGAGACAAATCTGCCTAGTATAGCTCCAAATATAGATATATCACATTTTGCAGATTCATGCATTCTTCTGTCAAAGATTGGCCAGCTGTCAAAATAAGATGCACTAGACTTATACCATATTGACCCACTGGCAATCCGATTAAGGGTCACTTAGCTGAGTTTTCTAAACAAAATTAAACACCAATCATCAATTGCTCAGGAAAGTTCACTAAAAACAAAGCTTGACATGTTAATGACATAAAACCAAATAATGCTCATGCTAAGAAGCATCAAGTCAGGAAAGAAGATAGCAGGACAGACCATTGCCAGGAGCACACTCCTTGGTAGTAATAATGCATGACCCAACATATTCCTTCAACATATTTCAAGACCTACATACCAGGAAGAACACAATCATAAAGAAAGATTAGATGAGAGAAATGGAGCTATCAGTTTATATTTTGAGCTGTAATTGTTAGTTAGTGAGCTGTAATTGTTAGTTAGTGATGTCGACATCGCAGTGTCTCATTGGCTAAGTTAATTAGTTAATTAGTCGGTTGAGTCTTGTATATAACGACCTCCTTCTCAGTGGATAATGAACAGAAGCTATCGTTTTCTCTGAAATGTTCTCTTCTTCTCACTTCTAGAAGCTTCCTCCATTAGAATCTCTCAAGCTCCAAGCTCCAAGTGCACATTAACACTGATTTTAGCATGGTATTAGGGTGGACGATGCTGGTGATCCACACGAATTAGTCAATATGATTTGCGGCAGCTTCCTCAAGTTTATCGATCCTTCGTCTAGTACGTGTATTTTGAATCTGAGTTCACCAATGGCAGAATCAACAGTTCCATATACACATCAACTGTACCTTGGTCCGTCAGACACTCCTGGTATTGTCCTAATTCCTGTGAAGCTCACAGGATCAAAGAACTATGGGCTTTGGAGCAAGACAATGAAGATCACTCTATTGGGAAAGAGAAAGTTAGGGTTGGTGACTGGCACCTACACAAAGGAGTCGTGTAAGACAGAATTGCATGAACAGTGGGAGACATGTAATACAATTGTTCTTTCATGGCTCATGAACACGGTGTCGACAGAGCTCCTTAGTGGTATTGTGTATGCCTCGAATGCTCATTTGGTCTGGGAAGACTTAAGAGAGCGATTTGATAAAGTCAATCGCATGAGAATTTTCCAGATACACAGAGCTATTGCTGCCTTATCACAAGGTACTGATTCAGTCTCTGCCTACTTCACTAAATTGAAAGTTTGTGGAATGAGTATGACGCCATGGTACGTGCCCCTAATTCAAAGGATTATGTTGAGCATATTCAGCAACAAAGGCTCTTACAATTTCTTAGTGGCTTGAATGATTCCTATAATCAGGCTAGAAGACAAATTATGTTGAAATCCAATGTACCATCTATTAATCAGGCATATGCTATGGTGATTGAGGATGAGTCTCAGCATTCTTTTGGTCTGGGCTCTTCAACTGAGAAAAATGATCCAATGGCCATGCAAGTTGGCAGGGGTCAAGGATACAGGGGTAAGAAACCTTTTATGCAGTGTGAACATAGTGGACTCAAAGGCCACACAAAGGAAAATTATTACAAAATCATAGGATATCCTAAAGATTTTAAAGGAAAAAAGAAGTTTGGTAAGAACAATGCTGGTGGACAATTTCGCCGTGGCAATGGCAACTTTGGAGGACAGTTTGGAACTCAACAATCTATCAATGCTGTCAATAATGTCTGTGGAAATGCTGATGTTCAGTCCCAAGGCTCTTCAGCCGCTGATCTACAAGGCACTTTGGCTGGAAAAGGACCTTACTTCACTGAAGAGCAATACAAACAAATTCTAGGCCTGCTAAACAAAGACACCAATGATAGCCAAGCTAATATGGCAGGTATTGCTACTTGTCTAATATCTAGTACTATTACAAATGAATGGATTGTCGATTCTGGTGTTACTCACCATATAGCAGCAACTGAGAATTTGTCAAAAGATGGTGTTCATGCTAGGAAGTCTTCTAAGGATAAAGTTCAATATCAAGTATCATGCCAATGGAAAAGTAGAGAGATTCAAGGCCAGATTGGTTGCAACGGGATATAGTCAACAGGAAGGTTTTGACTATCATGACACTCTCTCTTGTGGCCAAGATGGTGACAGTAAGATCAGTGATAGCATTAGCAGTGTCCAGGGGTTGGTCTTTCTACTAGATGGATGTTTATAATGCTTTCTTGCAAGGAGATCTCTGTGAAGAAGTGTACATAGAACTGCCTGAAGGCTTTAGAAGGTGGGGAGCAGAAAGTCTGCAGATTGCTTAAGTCCCTATAAGGACTTAAGCCGTTAAGCAAGCCTCTAGGCAGTGGAACATTAAGCTGACAGAGGCATTGCTTGAGCCAGGCTTTGTTCAGAGTAGTCATGATTACTCTCTATTTAACTTGAGGAAGAAAGGTGGCATGGTGGTTATCCTAGTCTATGTAGATGATTTACTCATTACAGGTAGTAGTGCAGATTTGATCACTAAGGCAAAACAGGTGCTCCATCAGAAATTCAAGCTAAAGGATTTAGGTGAACTCAGATATTTCTTGGGGATTGAGGTCCTTAGATCCAAAGCTTGTGTCATTTTAAATCAAGGAGGTATGTGCTTGAACTAATTTTTGACATTGGCCTTAGTGGAGCTAAACTTGCCATCACCCCTATGGGATCCAATTTGAAGCTGACTGCAGTGGAGTATGATAAAGCTACTAGTATTGTTGGAGATGTGGTACTCAAGGACATTACTCTATATCAGAAGTTGATTGGCAAACTTATGTATGTCACCATCACAAGGCCAGACATTAGTTATCAGTCTCAGGTCAAAGGAATCAAGGAAGAACTTCTGCTGATATTGCGGTTACTCTTTCAAAATTATGCCATTCAAACCTTTAGTCAATTCATGCAGCAGCCTAAAAGGTCATATTGGGAGGCTGCCCATAGAGTGGTCGGATACCTGAGGAATGCCCCAGGTCAAGAAGTGTGGATAAAGGCTGAACCTGCAACTGAGTTGAGTTGTTGGTGCGATTCGGATTGGGCTGCGTGTCCCAACACACGTAGGTTAGTTACAGGTTATGTGATAAAGTTTGGAGGTTCCTTGATCTCTTGGAAGTCCAAGAAGCAACAGACTGCGTCTGAAAGTTCTGCTGAGGCTGAGTATCGAAGTATGGCTTCAGCTGTAGCAGAGGTAATTTGGTTGTTAGGTCTGTTTAGGGAACTGGAGTTGCCATACAGGTTCCCTGTCACAGTGCTGAGTGACAGCAAATATGCTATGCAAATTGCAGCAAATCCAATCTTCCATGATCGCACGAAACATATAGAGATCATCTACCATTTCATTCGAGATAAAATCAAGACTGATGATGTCAAAACAGTCTATCTGCACACTAAGGATCAGTTAGCTGATTTGCTCACTAAGGGTTGAGCCAAGCTCAACATCTGTATCTTCTAGGCAAGCTTGGTCTAAACATTTTGCACCCTCCAACTTGAGGGGGGGGGGGGGGGGGGGGGGGGGGGGGTATTATGAACTGTAATTGTTAGTTAGTGATGTCGACGTGGCAGTGTCTCGTTGGCTAAGTTAATTAGTTAGTTAGTCGGTTGAGTCTTGTATATAACGACCTCCTTCTAAGTGGATAATGAACAAAAGCTATCATTTTCTCTGAAATGTTCTCTTTCTTCTCACTTCTAGATGTTTCCTCCATTAGAGAATCTCTCAAGCTCCAAGCTCCAAGTGCAGATTAACACTGATTTTAGCAATTTATGATTGAGATATTGAAATACGAGAAATGAGGAAGAAGTTTCTTCAAGAAGAAAAGAGGTATGTCATCTAAACGAAGGTAGTGGTTTAAGCAATGCTGCAACACCTTCAGAAAAACATTCAGTCTATCGGACATATATGACATTCTTATTTTTCAACTGGTAAAGTCTTATATATATTGACATAAAAAATATGGTACTAAGTTGGTACCAGAGGGTTACGATGATGTCCTGTACACATATATGATATTAAATCTGCTTACCACATCCCTTTGAATTTTGACGCAATCTTCTTCGGTTTGAACATCAAATTTTTCCAAATAGTATCTTTCTTTCCAGCCCTCTTCTCCTAATTTAACCTGACAAATAAGACCCAGCCAGTCAGGATATTCTAGAAGTTTTTTTTCAATGAACCTAAATGGAAATAAAAGGATGACCAAGAGACCTTATCAACCACAGAAAGGGTCTTGGCTTGTACATGGTTACTTTTGTCCTGCTTCTTCTGAACAGCCAACTGTGTAAACGACAATCACCAAACATGGGTTACGACATTGACCAGATTCTCTATCCATCAAGAACCTCAAATAAGGTTAAGTGTTCAACACATCACTCTCACATTTAATGTAGGGCGTTGCATGTGTATCCCCCAATGCTTCTGTACCTGAATAAATAAAAAATTTGATTATACTAAAATATTTACTGTTTTAAAAAATCCAGAATTAACGATGATGCTTCCATTTCTGACAGAGAAGATAGAACCACAGATATTGCATAAAGAGTTCAACTCAAACAAAAAGAAAACACGTCACTGAGGTGACCATACAAATTGTAGCAAAAGTACAAAACAAAGGTTAAGACTTGCCAACCCCAAAAGATAGGAGCCAAGAGAACCCCAAATCTACTAAAACTGGGATGGCATGATATAAGGACATCACAGACAAACCTGGATACGCTTCCTAAAGACAGCATTCTCATAAGAACCAATGGCTTGTATAAAGTGCCCCGCCCTCTCCAAATTAACCTGCAGTAATGAATAGGCAAAGCCCATAATCAAATACAACTACTAAGTGCTTCAAACATATCATGCGGATTAGACAACTTTAGAGCCAGAGAAGTTCTGTCAGGCATTAAAACTAGTTAATGATTGGATACAAGATTTACAAACCTTCACACACACCTATAAATTTAGCATCAATAAAGACCAGACCTTACATATTTCAGACAAACTAGGGTCACGTCTGCTTCATACAATAAATCATCACAATAGCCTTCACAATTGTTATACGAACGAGCAAATGGTAAGACAGAAAGTACATATGGAAACGTGGCATAGGTCGGAAATGAAAATGGAGCAACACAGAGAAGCAGATTATTATGTACCTGGCAAGAATTAGTAAGATAGCCACCCATATTGACAAATTCCTTCTTGTAGACATCAATCAGTAAGTCAATGGCTCCCTAGAGGTTCACAATTAAAAGAACATTCAGAATTGAAGCGGATGGGACAAAGGAGATACATTCAATATGAGCACCAACACATAACTCTTTGCCAGCAAAATTCTAGCTCCAAAAACCAAAGGGCGATACATTCAATATGAGCACCAACACATAACTCTTTGCCAGCAAAATTCTAGCTCCAAAAACCAAAGGGCGATACATTCAATATGAGCACCAACACATAACTCTTTGCCAGCAAAATTCTAGCTCCAAAAACCAAAGGGCAACTAGTACTGTACGCTAAATGAGAAAAGCACTAATTAACATCCAAAGAATACAAACCTCTGATATCTCCAAAGATGGCACGTGGGGAAGAAAATCATTTCCAACAAATAAACACATGAAAACAAAATCATCTATCAGTCGCTCCAGGTCTAGTTTGACAGTTGGATCTGGAATTTGAAGTTCGTATCCCAAATAATCTCTGAGTACCCATACTTTAAGAAACTGAAAAGATCCAGCCGCAAAAATTTAGAAAGATATAGTATAGTATAATATAGTATAGTATAGTAATATAATATAATATAATATAATATAATATAATATAATATAATGTTCAGTATAGGTAAGACTGGACATCCTGTAAGTAGCAATCTTATGAAGTATTTGCTGGAAATACATTTATTTGGTACTATACAACAAGGAAATAGATAATACAAGGTACGTAAATAATTTGATTAGGTTAACAGAAAGGGAAATATGGTAGTTCACATGATTTACATACAACTATATCTATATCAACATGGAAAGAAAGGGAGAAATTGACCACATTATCATACATGTGGACTGTGACCACAGGACAATTTCTATGTATCACTATATTAAGTTATAGAAGCACATAATATGGACACACATGGTTATAGTTAGCTGTCTATTTTTCGTCTTTTACATTTTCAATTTTAATCAAACTGACATCGTTTTTTAACAATAACCTTTTCAAAATAATTAGTTCTTCTTAGATATATGTTGCACCACTATATTTGTGATGGACAGTAAGACGTGCATTTCATACTTAATATGGTTGCACTTGAACATTGAAAATTCGAACTTGTAACTTAAAACTGTCATGTTTTTCCTATGTATCCTTCCTCTGCCAAGCTCGTGCCAACCAATTTTTTGTTCTCTCTTGTAACCTAGTTGTATCCTTGTCTAGGACGCATACTTGCTTGCTAATCCCCTTACTTGAGTTATTGAACTGATAGCTATTAACAGATAATAATGTCAGATAACAGGGAAACAATTGGAACCTAAAGGTAATAATAAAGATTATGAAATCCGTTCTCAATTCTCCTTACTGACCAAAGTATGACACTGGACACATATTTTTTATTTCATCTACTCCATATGAGAAAAGTAGCAGGAAAACCAGAATGAGGGATTGAAAGAACCATGCTGGAGATATCAGCCTTCTTTTGCCAATTTTCCACCCTCAGTAACAGCGTCCTCCAATAAATTCTCTCTACTTAACAATTACAGGGTATTCGTCAACCCAAACCCTCTTTCCTAAATTTATCTATCTCGTTTTCTCTGTCTAGGTTTTACTTATTAGATCTAAAGGAGAGTGAGAATCATAGATGATTAACTTTGACATCAATTGTAACAAAATTAACAGTTCATCTAAATTAAGACTGAAGGTGTTGGTTTATGTTTAGTCAACAATGGCATGCCAATTGGAAGAGTTGGCGGAAAGAGTTGGTGTGGATGCTAGGAGGAAGCTTCCTCCTTTGATGTCACCCATGACATCAAGAGGAGGTAGTTTGATGTCACCAATGACATCAAGAGGAGGTCTTTACCTCTATAAATAGATGCACTCCTTCATTTGCAGAAACCATCCCAAAAATAATACAACACATTGTAGTGAGTAGAGAGTTAAGAAAGAAATTCTCTTAAGTGTAATTGGGAACTCTCCCCTTCCTTTGTTAATATTAAAAAGGCAACTGTTCTCTGGTGGACGTAGGATTATTTTGATCCGAACCACGTTAAATCTTGTGTTCTTTCTTTTACGTTTCCGCTAACAATTAGTATCAGAGCGACAGGATTCTTTAACGATCCAAGGAGGAAGAACAAGCAAAGATGAGTTCCATGAAGTTTGAAATTGATAGATTCAGTGGACGCAACAACTTCAATATCTGGAAGATCCAGATGATGGCGTTACTGCGGAGGGAAGGTTCAATCCATGCTATTGACGGAAAGTATCCTAAGGATATATCAGCTCCCGACAAGGAAAAGATTGAAGGGGATGCATTGAGTGCAATCCAACTATCCCTTGCACCTAACGTGCTTTGTGAAGTGAGTACGGGTACCGAAGAGACGGCCAAACAGTTATGGGAAAAGCTAGAAGGGCTATACCAAGACCGATCAGTGACAACAAGGATGTTGTTACAACGGCGTCTTCACACATTTAAGATGGGGTCAGGTACTTCGTTACAAGATCATTTAGATGCGTTTAATAAACTTGTCATGGACTTACAGATTGCAGGAATTAAAAGGGAGGAGGAGACGCTTGCATGTGCTTTGCTATTTTCATTGACTTCAGGATATCGTGATATTGAGAATTCAATGATGTATAGCAAGGAGCCTATCAAGCTTGAGCAAGTGCGGCAGGCACTTAACTCTAGTGATGTGCGGAGGCACATTGAAGGAGATAGAGATGACCAGGCAAGTGGCCTCTTAGTAAGAGGCCGGACTAGCCAACAGGGAAAGACCAAATCAAAGCACAGATCAAAGTCTCGTGTGAACAAGAAGAATACAGAGTGTTGGGGTTGTGGCAAGAAGGGGCACTTTGATCGAGACTGCCCAATGTCAAGGTCCAAGGAAAAGGCGAGTGCATCCACAGTTGAACAGGTACATGATTTTGATAATGATTATGTACTAACAACATCGTGTAATAATAATAGTAGTTATGGAAACAAATGGGTGTTAGACTCTGCTTGTACTCTGCATATGACGTTCCAAAAAGACTGGTTTAGCAGTTATGAGAAAAGTGGAGGAACCGTAGTAATGGGCAATAATGCAACTTGTACAATAGTTGGCTTTGGCTCAGTTCGGGTTCGCTGCCATAATGGAGTCGTGAGGACTATTACACAAGCCCGTCATGTTCCTGATCTGAAGAAGAATTTGATCTCCGTGAGTACTCTGGATGAACAAGGTTACAGGTACATGAGCGAAGCAGGAACTATAAAGGTGACTAAAGGTTCTTTAGTCATGCTGAAAGGCAAGCTGGAGAACGGCCTTTACACATTGGCCGGAAGCACCATTGTTGGCTCTGCAAATGCATCTACAGTGCAGTTATCTAATGATGACAAGGCAAGACTATGGCACATGAGACTGGGTCATATGAGCGCACGTGGACTGGAGATGTTGAGCAATCGTAAACTTTTGGAAGGTGAGAAGATCAGCACGCTTGACTTCTGTGAGCACTGCGTTCTAGGGAAGCAGAAGAAGGTCAGCTTCAGCACTGGCAAACACAAGACAAGAGGAGTGCTAGACTACATCCATTCAGATTTATGGGGTCCTTCTAAACTTCCATCGAAGGGCGGAAAGAGGTATCTTCTCATTTTTATTGATGATTTCTCACGAAAGGTTTGGGTGTATTTTTTGAAGGCAAAAAGTGATGCTTTTGAAGCATTTAAAGAGTGGAAGATTTTGGTTGAAAATCAAATGGAGCGGAAAATCAAGTATCTTCGCACAGACAATGGCTTGGAGTTTTGCAATGAAGAGTTTAATGAATTCTGCAAGGTTCATGGGATCTCAAGACATAGGACTGTCAGGCATACCCCACAGCAGAATGGAGTTGCCGAGAGAATGAACAGAACTCTTCTTGAAAAGGCTCGTTGTATGCTCCTACAAGCCAAAATGTCCAAAGTATTTTGGGCTGAAGCAGTTCACACTGCTGCTCATATTGTCAATCGATCTCCAGCATCGGCAATTGACTTTAAGACTCCGAATGAGGTATGGTCAGGTGAACCCTCTAACTATTCATACTTACGAGTATTTGGGTGTCCAGCTTATTATCACGTTAATGAAGGAAAGCTTGAACCAAGGGCTAAGAAGGCCATATTCGTAGGGTATGTGGATGGAGTAAAAGGGTACAAACTTTGGTGTTTGTCTTTACTCAAATTTATAGTTAGTAGAGATGTCACCTTCGATGAATCCTCTATACTTGATCCCCGTAAAGTTTCCGTGGAGTTTTCAGGAAACAAGAACGACGAGCAGGTGGAGCTTCCGGTGGAGCTTGCCAAGGAAAAGGATCAAGAGACTCAGGTTAAAGATGAGTCAGAAGATGTAGACCTTGAAGAACTTGCTGTCAATGAACCATACACAATTGCAAAAGGGAAGGAGAAGAGGCAAACACGAGAACCGGAACGCCTTATAGATCAAGCAAACTTGATTGCATATGCGTTCGTAGCTGCACAAGAAGAGATTAAGGATCTGGAGCCCTCCTCGTATATTGAAGCAACTTCTTGCAAGAATGTTGTACAATGACGGTTAGCCATGACTAAAGAGATGGAGTCTCTTCACAAGAATCAGACATGGGTCTTAGTGAAAAGACAAAAGGGGAAGAGGACAGTTGGATGTAAGTGGGTCTACCAAAAGAAAGAGGGAATTCCTCAAGTGGAAGATGCTAGGTTCAAGGCGAGATTGGTTGCAAAAGGATTCAGTCAGAAAGAGGGAATTGACTACAATGAGATTTTCTCTCCAGTCGTGAAGCATAGCTCAATTCGCGTGCTACTAGCATTGGTTGCCCAATTTGACTTGGAGCTTCAACAGCTTGATGTCAAAACTGCTTTCTTACACGGTGATCTAGTAAAGACAATCTATATGGATCAGCCTGAAGGTTTCCTAGCTGAGGGAAAAGAAGATCACGTATGCCAACTAAAGAAGTCTTTGTATGGTTTGAAGCAATCCCCTAGACAGTGGTACAAGAGGTTTGATGCATTCATGACTACACATGAATTCTCAAGGAGTGCATTTGATAGCTGTGTGTATCACAAGAAGATGTCTGGTAACTCAATGATTTATTTACTGTTGTATGTTGATGATATGCTTATTGCTGCTAACAACATTACAGAGATAAATGCTTTGAAGAAACTGTTGAGTAAGGAATTTGACATGAAGGATTTAGGAGCTGCAAAGAAAATCCTTGGTATGGAGATTTCAAGAGAAGACGGTGTTTTACATCTTTCTCAGGAGAGGTATATTGAAAGGGTTCTCGAGAGATTCAATATGCATACGTGCAAGCCTGTAAGTACACCATTAGCTCCTCATTTTAAACTTTCAGAGTTACAAATGCCTCAGTCCGAGGATGAGGTGGAGCATATGTCAAAGATTCCTTATGCCAGTGCAGTTGGTAGCATTATGTATGCTATGGTATGCACACGTCCAGATATTGCTCAATCTGTAAGTGTGGTAAGTAGATACATGTCCAGCCCAGGAAAGAGGCATTGGGAAGCTGTCAAGTGGATATTGAGATATCTCAAAGGAGCTTCTGGTGTTGGTCTGACCTTTCGAAAAAGTGGTGGAGGTATTTCAATTCTCGGTTATGTAGATTCTGACTATGCAGGAGATCTTGACAGAAGAAGGTCCACAACTGGATACATCTTTACCCTCGTTGGCAGTGCCGTTAGTTGGAAGTCGACTTTGCAGTCGATTGTCGCTTTGTCTACGACAGAAGCAGAATACATGGCAGCAGCGGAGGCGGTAAAGGAAGCTATCTGGTTGAAAAGTTTAGTAGCGGAATTGAGTTTGGTTCAGCTGGAATCAACTCTTAGATGTGATAGTCAGAGTGCTATTCATCTAATGAAAAATCAGAGATTTCATGAGCGCACTAAACACATTGATGTCAGATTTCATTTTATTCGAGATGTTGTTGAAGAGGGAACTATCAAGGTCGTGAAGGTTATCACAGACGATAATGCTGCAGATATGTTGACCAAGATAGTCCCACTCGCTAAGTTTGCACACTGCAAGGACTTGGCGGGGGTGTGCATCAACTGATGCAACTCCGAAGAGAACAGTTGTTAGGTGGAGGTGGTATGTTCAACAATGGTTTGATTCTTCTTGTTTCTTACAACGGGGTTGCCCAGTAAGCTTAGAAGTTTTGGCCAGAGTTGTTCACACGCACGCTCGAAACGCAAACCAAGGTGGAGATTGAAGGTGTTGGTTTATGTTTAGTTAACAATGACATGGNAGGATTATTTTGATTCGAACCACGTTAAATCTTGTGTTCTTTCTTTTACGTTTCCGCTAACAAAGACAAATGGAGAAATTGTCAATTTGTTCTATCAGATTAATTTCAGATGGCAAACCAATTTAAACCAAAGAAACTATTTCTACTCCCTGAAATTGGTACATCATATACAAAGCGAGTACCTTCCAATTGTTTCTTGTTAATTCAGTAAGCCAGCTTTTGACGGCTTTCTCCAAATATTTTCTTAACTGATTATGATTAGGCCAGAGAGATAGAGAACAATTTACTGATGGCGGATAAGATGCCAGTATGAGATCATAACTTCAGAAATCCAGGATTTCGGGTGTGTTTGGTATAACAAAAAATGTTTTTCGTGGAAAATGTTTTTGGAAAACAAATAGTAATCTTATTCATTTTCCGGTGTTTGATACGCAAATTAAGGAAAATAACTTCTCAAAAGTATTCATAAATTATTTAGATACAATAAACATGAAGCCATAAACTTTCGAACTGTAAACCANTAAGGAAAATATTTTCCAAAACATTTAAGCCAACCAAACATGGGAAAATTGAAAAATATTTTCCTTCATACCAAACACACCCTTCATCTCCTCTTCTATTCTTTCTTTCATCTATATTTGTTGGTTTTTCTTAATTTACAACCAACAAATGGAGCCTCAGCATTCAAACAGAAAGTTACTGAGAAAAATTCCCTTCTTGGAACCAATATATATTCAATTATTTGGATTCACAAACATAGAATAATTTCCCACAGTTCGCGAAATAATAAGAATTTTTCGTAGCAGCATAATAGAAGTATAGAACTATATCGAGCAGTTCTTAAAGTTTCAGCTTTCGGAACAAGACAACCACATCAAAATTCCTACACTTAGTGCAACGGCGGAGCTTGATAACACAATGGTACAACATCGTCATACTAAATCAAATTTCTAACCTGAAACTTCTGTTCTGATATTAAGTTCTCTAAGTCCTTGCCGCCTCCTTCCCCTTTTTTTGAGTGCCTACCTGCTTGTTGTCTATACATATCTTGCCTATTCTGTTGACCTCTATACTTTGATTTATCTTTGCGGACATCCTGCAATCAAGGACAAATTCATTACATAGCATAACTTGTTTCCCCATTGTGATGACATAACCAGAAGAACGTGAAAAAAAGACCTAAAACAACACATCCAAAAACACACTGACCTCCCTTAGAATTGAAAAGTGAACTTCATGTGACGCCAATGCCAGCATTATCAAGTCTGCGTCCTGTGGAAGCACCAGAAAATATGTAAAAAGAACACACTTGAAAGACGTCATGAAAGAACACTTCAGCATAAAGCAAAAAGGGCAAGGTAGGCTGCTATAGAGTACGACAGAAAAGAGAAGGAAAGAAAAGTAGGGTGCCACAAATTACCAAACCATACAAGCAATGTCGTGTATTAGGATCAAATCCTGGAAGATTCCTTTGCAAGCGAATATAAGACATTATCTTATGCTCCCCTTCACCAGGCACACTAGCATCAGAGAGAATAACCTAAAAAGATCACGATGTAGAAGAAGCATAATGTATGAGGGAAAAAGCATATCCCATAGAGCATGAGAGCAAGTGTCCAGCAGAAGTACGCTTACCTTGATTCCCTGCCAACCAGAGTCTACATTCACTTTCAAACGTATATAGTATTGAAGTGCAGATGACAGCAGTTCCATGAATTTCGTTCCAGGTGTAATAACATTTGAATCCAACTTTTTAGTACTTAAATCTTCCCGTTCTGTTTCATCATTCCTTCTTATTCTCCCTGTATCAGAGGCCTAAAAACAATAAAGTTCAATCTGCTTTCATAGAAAAGGAAAAAAGGAAAGAAAGAGAGAAAATCCCTAAACTGTCAAAACTTCCAAATCATAGAAAAGAAAAAAAGGAAAGAAAGGGGGAAATCCCTAAACTGTCAAAACTTCCAAATTCCACTTCTAGAATGCACTGCTATGTCGTTCGTTTGCAGCCTATATGTCTATTCCTGCTTTTTGTATGTTGAACTCGTAAATTCCCAAGTTGGATATTCAAAACTTTTAGGTTTCCCTTTTACAAAAGTCTCCCAAGAAGAAAAGCCAGATTCCTGTCTAATTTGATCAAGAATTGTATTTAGCTTTCCAGAAATATTCAGGTTGGTTCTCAAGCAAGATATAACTGTTGCCGAAAGTAGACAAGGTCAAGTATGAAATCTAGACCTTCGAAGGAACTTTTTTGATTGGGAACTGGACACTGTGGGAGCTAACGAGGGGGCTGGAAAATGTGATAAAGCTGATTGACACACCAGATGCTATAATCTGGAAAGGAGGAAAAATGGTATTTCATGGTAAAATTCTGTAATAGTACCATGATGAAGCTTGGAGGGGGGGAACAACATATGGCCTTGGAAATCAATCTAGAAAACAAAAGCTTCCCCTTGAGCTACATGTTTTGGTTAGATTATAATGAATGAAGCTTGTCTTACTCAAGATAAATCCCAAAAAGGAGGATTCAGACTAGGCAATAGATGCTATCGATGTCAAGCTGAAGCAGAATCTGCTACACACTTATTTTTGCATTGCCGCTTTGAATGGGACACTTGGGTCATGTTCCCGAATGTATCTGGAGGATTTGGTAGTTCCTGCAACCGTTAAAATATGCACTAGAAGGCTGAGAGGACAGTGAATGGGGAAGCAAACCAAATACAAATGGAATGCTAACCCTTTATGTATATTTTGGTGCTCATTGAAAGAAAGGGATAGAAGATGTTGTGAAAACGCTTGTACACTTTTTCCTTTTGTGAAGTCTAGGGTTTTTAAACTGCTATACTCTTGGTGTAATTAGAAGCAGAGACTCATGTATTTTCTTTTGCGGGACTTCCTGGATTCCCTTCATATTTTAGGGAACCCATGTCCTCTTTTGTGTACATATTCGGCTCTTTCTTGGTGCAAATCAATGAAACTTTACATATCAATATAACCTGATCAAGAATAGTTTCCACATGGTTTACTAATAAATTTAAGGTGAAAAAACTCACTTCATCACCAGCATCTTTAGCAGCTCTGAAACGTCTTGCACGTTGTTGATTCATTTTGGCACGTGGTGCAACACCATCTGCAGATCTTATATCATCATTAGTCGAGGAATGAGGTAAATAAATCAAATTAGCTATTGCTCAATATGGTTCCTAAGACAATCATACATCTGGCAATGTTTTAGTGAAGAATGGAAGTGGTACACCTGGGCAAAAATTTTGAGAAAATATTTAGCAAGCTAGACCAGAAGAACTCACTTCTGCATTGATTACAAAATAAATGACCACATCTATGATCTAAATGATTTAAACAAGAAAACAATAGGTGTGACATCATACAGACCTTTGGAATAACTAAGTAAATATATCGACGACATCTCTACTTCAAACCTCAAATCCATGTAAACACAATCTCTTATATACAGCATTTAACTTCTAGATGTATTTCGTAAATAATGTTTTGATTNTCCGTTCTTTATGTTCCTGGTTGTCCTTTTAGTCTTGCATCTGTTAGTCGTTTGACTCGTGCCTCAATTGTGGTATATATTTTATTGATGATTCTTTTATTATGCAAGACCGTAGTACGGGACGGACAATTGGTACAGGTCGTGAATCAGAAGGTCTTTACTACCTTAACTCGCT